CCGACAGTAACGTTTCTCTGTCAGTAATCGGAGCCACTGTGCTTAATTCAATGATTGATGAGAGAATAGCAATAAAGAACACACTCAACACCTTGTTGTTGATTTACCCGCCAAGCATTGACTTTGATTATTTGGGAAAAACGAGGATGACTGGAAGCAAATTCATCAAATACCAGCGATGTTTACAAATGCCTGTACTGTTTCAATGCATCTTGGTACGATGTTTTTATTAGGAAGGTAATGTATCATTTTAACGGAAGGTTGGTTTACATTAAAAAGCGTTTCTTTTCAAAAGCCGTAGACCTGACTTATCTTAATAATCAGACCGGATCTGAATTGTTGATATCAAAATTAAAAATAAAAGTATGGTTTCCGAGAAATTCGGAATTTATTTGGGATTTTATTTCGATCGGAATACTAAATAGAAGCATTAACAAATACACCAATCATGTCACTGTGGAGGTGGACACTTCGACGTGATGCAATGGTTAGCAAGCTTGTTTCGCTAGATCTCTTACGAAGGAATAAGAAGTTTGATTCTAACTGGGTGCCCCATTCTTTCGACCTTGTGCCACGTCTATGCTACGCTTAGAAAACCGTTTAGGGCACTTCGACATGATGTAATAGCAATTTTTTTTTGCTAGATCATTTACGACTGAGTAGTGAGTTTCTTTTTCACTGGATGCTTCACACTTTCGGCCTTGTGCCACATCTAAGCTACACTTAGAAAACGGACACCTCGACGGAGCATTTTGAACATGTTAAATGGTTTGTTAATGATAACAAATCAAGTTGTTTCGATGTAACAATATTTATAAATTTTCTTAAACGACTGGAATTTATTTTAGTTCATTAAAAGGTAATAAATAAAAAGGCCTCACTTTTGCCGCACCATATATATATATATATATATATATATATATATATATATATATATCTGGTGGACTCTTCCCTTGTATTCGACGCATGAGGGTCAAGCAGCTCAGTTCTTAGGAACCGACAGCCCATACACCGGTACATATGATTTGATTATAGTGGTGAAGGCTTTGTGCAGGACCATCCACACTTTTTGAAGGGCCGAATACAGAGACCTGGTGCACTACGTGCCACAAGGTTCCCAAACGACCCTCCGTAGGTTTTGAATTCAGAGTTGTCCTTCTCCTAGACCAGTTGTCATCCAAGGCTACAGAACCCAGTCTGTCCTGATATTTACCCATAGCTGAGGGAGAAGAGGAATCATACTTTTCCCGTAAGTGAATGTAATGGACTGGATTTCGAATTCGGCTCTCCGATTTCTCAATCCGAGCCGTTACCCACCGTACCTCCTCTCTCTCTCTCTCTCTCTATATATATATATATATATATATATATATGATTTTGTGTTTTTTGTGTATAATTTCGATTTGAATGTACAATATCTTATTCGAAAATTGGAAGAATAAAAAATTTAAACAAACACGTCTTGTCAGTCGAAGTTAACAAAACTTGTTCAAATGAATTCTTGTTATCTAACTACACCTTATTTAAAATCATATTAATACATCTATATTATATTAATATATAACATACATTATATTAGCTATAAAGCTATTTGTTAATACACGTAATCTCTCCTTTACTTCCTGATTTATATTTGTTTCAAATATCCATTTATCATTCTTTCCTGTTGCTGATTACCTTTCAGCGCTGAAGTCAGACCCAAATTTTCAAAGTTCTGTAAATGGAAACGCGATCTACAGAATACATCTGGAGCGAGAACGCAAGAGAATACATTCTAAGTTGATGGAAGTAATCTTAAACATTTTAAATGGAAATTGCTACTCCACATTATATACAAAACTAAAGATTACTTATGAAAACTTCAAGGCTGTTCGCTTAAAAAATGTATGCACCAAACGAAGTGGGTAAATACTGACTTGAACTCCAACAACCATTAATATTCTGTAGTCTTTATGCTGTATTTAAATAGTTTATATATCGAATTTTTATAACAAGCCTAAGACATAAATACGCAGCTCTTTGTCTAAATCTCTTGAAATAAAATTAGAAATTAAAGATTGCATAAAGCATGTATATTGCAGAAAGTGGTACTTGCATAATAGCACAAAATTTAACTGACTTAAGCATTTAAATAAGTTCATGGCAACCTGAAGAATTTTATTTCATGCATTAGTAGGAGAAAGAAAATTATTTAAGGGATTTTGAAAGCGAGATCCTTGGTGCATGACGGACTGGTTAGAGTATTTCAAAACCTGCTGAGCTACAATCATAAAAGCAATATGGATCCAAATTTTGAATGAGTGCATATATTTAGGAAATAGAATCATAGTATTTATTGTAACTGTATAATAACATGGACACGTGGTCGAGTGGTTAGGACGTTTGCTTTCTGACCATGAGCCCCGGGTTCGAATCGAACCATGATCGATTTGTCAGGAAGGTGACTTCTTGATGTTATCGGTCTGGAGTAGGCGATTCCAGCTTGTGACACCTTTGGAAGATGTCTGAAAAACCATACCACGGGCTGACCCAAGCCTTGTGAATGAAATTGGGTAGACGGAACCTTTGGGCGCCGTCGATAGTTCTGCTAGAACGAAGGCACAAGTCATCGTGA